GCCGCGGGAATGGCGGGCCACTCGGTCCAATGGGTCCTCGAAACCTATGGTGCCTAAGGGGCCTCTCGGGCACTGGACCGAGCGCATCCTGGAGACCCTCGCCAAGGCCCCACCCAACGTAGGAGCCCGATCGTGGCACACAGGACCCTGAGGATGAGCATGATGGCCCTGCCCCTCCTGACCGTGATGATGGTGCTGGCAGCGAGAAAGGGCCGAATCACAAGGAAGGTGGTCTGTTGCGCACCACCGTTGCTGGAGGCACGTGGACTTCAACAGAACGGACATTGTGATTCTGCGCCGCGCCCGTTCTGTGGACGCGATCCTTGCGCGAGTCACTATCTGACGTGGGAATGTGCACATATCGATCGAGAACGGCAGCAGCATTTTCAAGACACGGAACTTGCGTGGCTTTCCAGAGCGAGCACCACGGTCGTGGATGTGGGACCGTGGGCTAATTGGTAGGTCTTGTTTCCCGCCGCTCCCACCTCGTGACAAGTCGGGCAGGTGGCGCGCGCAGCATGGGCAACCACGCGGCATCACAGGTCGAATCTACGCGGACGGGGTTTGTCGGAGCATGTGGCATTGGCTTGAAACCTCTCGCGCGGGATGGGGCTTCGCACAGCTTCAGCCTCACGGAGTAGGGATTGGCATTCTTGTATTTGGGGCGCCCCCACGGCCCATCCAGTCCTCCCCTCGGGCTGAAATGTACGACTCTTTGCAGGTCCTGGCGGTTTGCCTTCCGCCCGTCGTGATGCGCGCGGACTTTGAGGGTCGCGTTGGCGGGCTCAGGGTTGGGCCCAAGTGGCGCCGCGCCCCTCGCCGTTGCAATCTTAACCTTTGGGGGGCCATCTGGGACAAAATCCACGACCTCGGAGACCTCCGCGAGACCCTCAGGGCTGAGCTCGCCAGAGGCCACCAACGTGGAGCTGACGAGGTTGTCGCTGGCAATCGTTGGGCGGATCTCGGGGCCACGAAGGGTCGCGACCTCCACGGCGCCTCGAGAGATGCCCGCCAGGCCGCGAGGAAGGCCCACAGCAGCTGTTGCGTCTTCACTCGCTGGATAATGAAAGCCCCCGCCCTCTCCGGGGCAGCGGGCAGATACGCCACCGAACCCCGCGTCGAATGGGGGGCCCGCCGCCCCCGACAGATCGAAGCTCCAGAGCACGAGGATGCCCATGAGCTCAGACATTCTCTCGAGCAGACCCCTCACCGAGCAATGTGGCGCTGTCTTTTTCCTGCAGGAAGGGTGCGAAGACCACGAAGAGCATCGACCGGCCCTCTGCCCTCACGCGCCCCGCCCGCGCTCCTGCTGCTGCCGCGGGGTCGCTGCCTGGAGCTGACCAGCTTCCGAACCGGGTGAGGGGGGGGTCGCTCGTCTGCGGCGCCGCTCTCTGTCACCACTGGAGGAGGTGTGTATGTCATCCTGTCCGTCCTCTCCCTCGGTCGCTCTCGAGGGTGATGGCGGCAGAGACATCCCTGACTCTGCTCGCAATGTTCAGGAGGGAAAAAACACACAGACACAATTAATCGTCGACTCCCAGGAAAACAAGGGAAAATATGGGACTCGGGGGGGAAGACAAAAACCCAGAAAATATGGGAGTCTATTCATTTGTGTGTCCCAGGGCCCCTTCAAATGGGGACAGCCGTGTCACGGGCGTCGGCATGACGGCTCGCCCGCCCCAGGCGGCCGGCGCGAGCGGTGTTGCGCGCCCCCCCGCCCACCCCCCCTGACGTCTCCGACCTTCGTTCGGGGCAGCGTAAGCCCCGGGTTCGCCAGGACTCGGGTTCGCCATCGTTGTTTGACGACCGCGATGTGGAGTCTGACGAGGAGGAGTTCCGTGGGATGTCTGCAGCGGGAGGCCTCGTCAAAAGGCAGGCTCGGCCTCGCCGTTTTTGTTGACGACCTCGTCGGGGATGTCCGAGTCCCCTGTACCCGGGTCTTACGCCCCCCTGATTCGTCGTGCTGCGCGCCGTCCTCGCAGGTTCGGGTCGCCGTCTGAATCCCAAGATGGTCTTCCACGCTCTGCCCGAGGACGCGTTCCGTCAGACCCCGCAGTCTGCGCCCGCGCGCCTGATGCCGCCAACCTGCAGCAGTCAGGAGGGGAAAAACACACAGACACAATTAATCCGCGATTCCCAGAAAATATGGGAAAATGCGGGAAGTGGGGGGGAAGACAAAAACCCAGAAAATATAGGAAAATATTGGGGATACTTTTATTTGTGTGTATTTATTTGTGTGTCCCAATTCCCCTTCAAGCAGGTGCGCATGGAGCCCAGATCCCTGAACGAACGGGGCCCGCCTTCCAGCCAGCTAAAAGGCGCAGGGCTGCCGCGCGCAACCCCCGGCCTACTCTCAGCGCCACCGCCGTGCCCCAGCTCGGAGTACGCCTGATAGTGGGATCTTCCTTCCCGGGGCTGCTCGAGGCCACAGATGCTGGGTCTGTCCAGGACATGTTGCGTTGTGCGTGCGGCGCGAGCTTTACACCACTGGCACCGCGGGGCACTTGCTCATCGACTGCCCGCCCGTGATTTAAGCAGGATGTCTGAGCGTGCTGCGAGGAATCGCAAGTTGCTCCTCGAAGATCGGCATCCCGCCAACGAAGGGAGGCCCAGCGGGCGACCCATGCCAAGGCCCAGGCCCCTTCAGGCCACGGATCCTGGAACGTTTTGGCTCCGTCTCGCGGCCGCTGGCGGCCGAGACACCGCGGCCCCGAGTGCTTCTCTTGGCGGTCTGGGACCCTTGGTCCTGGGCCGCTTTCATATGCGTTCTAGCGATCGGCGCAGGTGTGAGATGTTAGAGAGGCGCGCCCCGCGCACCCCGCACCTCATGTTTGCTCGCGAGCGGTCGCCCACCCAAGATCCATGCTGCTGGATCTGTGCACGCTCCCCTCGATCCGATGGTGGGGGAGTGCGTCACTGACAGGTCCCTGGGAAGGTCTCCTGCCCTTCTTCTTATAGTGAGCCCGCCAAGCGCCCATTGGAGCGCGGCGGTTGCCAGCCAGCCCCGTATCATTATCCTCATTCTCCTCCTTCTCGGCAAGTTATGAGTTGGCCGTGCCGACAAGCAGCAAAGGGAAGCATTAGCGAGGTTCCTCGGAGTGCTACTCATGGCAGACTACTTGGGTACAACAATACGCCTGCACTGCCATCGCAATGGGAAGGAGTTTTTTGGAGCACCTTCAGGTGCACATCTGCAGGGTGGGAGGAGAGAAAAGTGCCATCATGATGCGCACCAGGGTGCTCCTCATCGGCCTTACCTAGACAGTGACCTCCAGCACCGAGAAGTGAGCTGAGTGGAAGAGGCGAGCACGGAATTCCAAACGTAGAAGCAGCAGGAGCCCCCCCCCCCCCAGCAACAGTTCGGGGTCTCGGGCCGTCCGTCTCTCCCCTCTCTCCTCCTTTTGAGGTCGTGTCGTCGTCTCCTCCCCCCCCTTGGCTTGGGCGCCCACCTCGGAGCTCGGTCCTGGAGTTTCGGGGTGTGCCCACTGCCGGCACCAGTAAAAATGTAGGGCCGTAGCACAGCCAAGCGCCGGGGATGTTGGCAATAGCGCGTGGACCACCCGAGTAGGTGCTCTGACGTTACCCCCTCGTGCGGATGTCCTTGTCCTTGTCATTGCCTCCTCCTCCTCCTGCTCCTCCTCCTCCTCCTCCTCCTCCTCCTCCTCTTCTCTTCCCTCTCCTCCTCCTCCTCCTCCTCCTCCTCCTCCTCCTCCATCCTCCTCCTTCTCCTCCTCATCCTCCCTCCTCCTCCTCCTCCTCCTCCTCCTCCTCCCTCCTCCTCCTCCTCCTCCTCCTCCTCCTCCTCCTCCTCCTCCTCCTCCTCCTCCTCTTCCTCCTCTTCCTCCTCCTCCCACGCCTGCAGGGGTCGCGCCGTCGCGCGCTTGCGGCTTGCCGCGTCCGCCACAGCAGCAGGAGCCCCGAACTCCTCTGACCCCTGCCGCACACTGGCTTGACCACCTCCGCAGGGTGGCGCGGTGACCAGCACCCCATTTGAAGGGATTTCATCCCACACCTCATCGGCAGCACGCACGACGTGTGGCTGGCAGGTCACCCCGACCCCTTCCTTCGGAGGCACGCACGGTGGCGCGACGCATTATACCCCAATCGCGAGCACGCCGCTTCCAGCAGTATGCCACACGGCTGGTGCTGAGCTCTCGCTCCAACTCCCCCTCGTGGGCCTCTCCAGCGCCGGTGCTGCGTCTGGGGAGGACCAACGTTCGCACACAACGGCGACGACGATCCAACAATCCGCGCAACAGTCCCCGCCCTCGCTCCCGTGATTCGCCGCGGACTGCGCACACCAGTGTTGTTTGCTCCTCCGCCGCCTGCTCGTCCTCCAGTTCCTGTTGCTGCTCGTCATTTTACTCCTTGTCCTCCGTGCTGTCCTCCTCGTTCTCTTCCTGCTCCTACTGGTCCTCCTCGATGCCCTCTTTGCGCTCGGAGGCGTTCCGCATGCCCGAGCGCTTGTCGGTCCCCGTCTTCTGCGACCGCGACCTTGCGAGGGGCCTTCGTGCACACGAATGTCTGCGCACATCACCCAGGAACACATATCAGTCAGTTGTGGTTCAGCGCTTTGGTTCGGCAACTTCTGGTAAGTTGGCTCTGTGCCTAGATGCCTAGAACCCCCTGCGCACGCACGAAGGCTCAAGCAGGTTGGTCCAGCAGACGGAGGGAGGGGCGGGCGTCGGATGCTTACGCGGAGCAGTGATTCTGCTTATCTTTATTGCATCTGTTGTTTTCGAGCGTGTGTGTGTGTGTGTGTGTGTGTGTGTGTGTGCGTGTGCGCGCGCAGCAGAGCCCCGTGGGGAACAGAATGTCAGCCCCAAAATTCACACCGTCTCCCCCCCGTGATCATCGTGTGGTTTGGTTGTGCGCATGCCATCGCGCGCAGCCGGCCGACCCCTTGGTGAGACGTGCAGAGAGCTGGATTCGCCATTCTCTTCTCACACTCATCATCGCGACGCTCATGACCGCCTGACTTGGAAGACCGGAGGGCGGAGGACCAGCTCGGCGAGAGACGCTCTGAAAAGAGCCGGGGCTGGCACTCCGAGATCGAGGGCTTCTTGCCCACCCGAGGCTGGCCGTCAGAGGGCAGTAAGAGCGCACACCGGTCGCACAGTAATCAGCACTTCAGTGGAGGCTGGGTGTTGGCAGTCCAAGTGCTCTTCCCTCACGCCCCCTGTGTCAGGCCTGTCGCCCGCTGGGATCCGAAGGGGGCAACAGCGATATTCACAGGGACTGAACACGTATTGAAGCCAACGGTGTGTATATGCATTCAGTCGGCGGTAGCAAAGACAGTTCGCAAGCCATTTTTGGCTCAAGCTCCGGCCCAAAGCTTATGGTTGCGAAGTCGGCTCCTGAAGAACAAGGGTGCCCCGATGGGTGTCCCGATGGTTGTCTTCATGGTTGTCCCGATGGTTGTCTGGATGGTGGGCTGTAGATGGGTGGAGCGGTAGATTGATAGTAGGATTTAGGCAGAGGATAGTAAGTGGGTAGTACACGGTGATTGATAGTTGGTTATTGGATCGAGTAGATGGAACGATACAGCGTTGGTGGGTAATTGAAAGCTATATATAGTGATACATACGAAATAGATCATTAGAAAGATAGGTCGATAGACAGAGCGGCAGATGAGCGCGACAGTAGGAAAGTTAAAGAAACCACCAAAGAACCCATAGCCATGGCAAATCGACCGCCTCCCCCTTTCCCCCCCCCAACCTCCTTATCACCCGCAGGGTGGTCCGACGGCCGGTGCCGCCGACCCTGATCGAAAGGGCTAGGAGTGGAGGGAGGAAGCGGAGGAGGAGGAGGAGGAGGAGGAGGAGGAGGAGGAGAAGGAGGAGGCTGTGGAGAGGGAGGAGGAGGAGGCGGAGGAGGAGGAGGAGGAGGTGGAGAGGGAGGAGGAGGAGGAGGAGGAGGAGGAGGAGGAGGAGGAGGAGGAGCAGGAGGAGGCCTCTTGTCACCCGCAGGGTGGTCCTCTCGGCATACCTCCTCCGGGGAGCGGCCTCGGGGGCATGGCCTCGGCAGCGGTGCGCGGACCTCCTTGTTTCCTTGCCGGAGGCGGGGAGCGGCACGTCCAGGCTCGTTGATAGGGGGCATGGCTCACTCCTCCTCCTCCTCCTCCTCCTCCTCCTCCTCCTCCTCCTCCATGGACCCCCGGGGGGGGGGAAGTAAGCAGGTAGTTGAAGCCCGCAGGGGGGGTGGGGGGGGCATCTTGGCGGCCTCCTGGGAGCCTCTCAGGAGGGCCTCTGGGGGCATCCTGGGGGCCTCCTGGGGGCCTCCTGGGGCCTCCTGGGACCTCTTGGGGGCCTCGCCGGCGGTTTCAGAGAGGCGATTGGCCGTCGGGCGCAGCCGGAGGCCGTCTTGGGGGCCTCTCGGGGGCGTCTCGATGCCTTTCTGGAGCGTTTTAGGGCCGTCTTGGGATCCTCTTGGGAACCTCGTCCTCTCGGGTCGACTCGGGGCTCTCTCGCGGGCCGCATGGGCTGTCCTGGCGCTAGCTTGAAAGCCCCTTGGGCCGTCTTGGGCGATCGGAAACCCAACTGGGCGAGAACCTCGAAACCTTTCCACATCCAAAGAAAAAATTGTTGTGTCGCCGTGGACTCTCCTAGAGGGCCTCTTGGAGCCGTCTGGGGAGCCTCTTGAGCTGTCTTGCCGCCGTGTTGGGAGCCTCCTGAGCCGTCTTGGGCCATCTTGGGCACTCTTGGTGTCATCTTGACTGCATTGGAAGCCGTCTTGGAGGACATCTTGGCCGTTGGGAGGCCGAAAGGAGGAGCGCCAGAAAGCAATGTCACATGGAGAGATTTCAAAGCCACCCGTGCAGGGGGGGGCTCTAGAGAACAGTCAACAACCTTTCCAGACAATAGACGAGCATTCTCACACGCCCCCCTCAGTGCAGGCACCGTAGCGGTCTTCCGATCTCCCCAAAATACTGTCTCTGAGATCGGTCGCCCTCGCGAATACAATACAGTGAGCGGCTTGAATAAGGAACACCTACTTTTCAAAAGGGGCTCGGTCGTTCCTTAGGCTTGCATGCGTTATTTACAGTTCCTTATGCGTTATTTGTTATGTATCGTTCCTTATGCGTTATTCCTTGGGATAAAAAAGGGGCTTCGTTCCTTATTTATCGTTCCTTAGGTCAGGCCGATGGCTGTAGCCCCGCTCCAGAAAAATGCAGGAGCGTTGGGGTCCATCTCTCCGACCGCGGAGCCGTCTTCGTGGGGGGCCAGCGGCAGGTCCGCGAGGCACCTAGAGTCAGGAGAGGAAAAAACACACAGACACAATGATTCCTCGATTCCCCAGAAAATACAGGAAAATATGGGAAGTGGGGGTGAAGACAGAAACCCAGAACATATGGGAACAGATGGGGGATCTTTTTATTTGTGTGTATCTTCAGAGCCCCGAATCATCGGGGGTAACTCGGGTAAGGGCTAACTCGGGTTCCTCTTTCGGGAATCCGAACCCGACGTACCCCAGACCCGAGCTACCCCGGATAACTCGGGCGTCCAGAGCCCCACATCATCAGGGGTAATTCGGGTCAGGGTTAACTCGGGTTCCTTTTTTCGGGAATCCAAACCCGAGTTACCCCGGACCCGAGTTACCCCGGATAACTCGGGCGCCCAAGATGTACGTACCGATGTTGCCCACCAACCTCCTGGAGAAGAGGGAAGTTGCGGGAGGAGGAACACGTACCCGTTATCGTATAGGAGGTCATCCCCACGATTTTCTGGCGGGGTTTCAGACGAAGGTGCGGATGGCGCCACAATTGGCCATGGCTAGGTTCCTTGTCGTTGGCCAGGACGGGCGGATCAGCTGGACATGCGGGAGGGCAAGTTGGCGGTGACGACGTGTTGAGTGGCAAGGCTGGGAACGAGCTTGACCGCTAGAGCCCACACAGAGTCTCATAGCAACGATACGCTGACAGGGGGCAGGCGGGGGGCTCAACATGACTCGAAGGTGCGTGCAGAGGCTTCCAGAAAGCCCAAGAGGATCCCCAAAAACCATCCAAGACTGCCCAGCAGGGAATTTGTATGACCCCTAGACAGCCCAAGAGGGCCTCCGGATGCGGTCCGCTTTTTGAGGGACGGCCTTGGTCAATTATTTTCCCCGCGAGAAGCCCATCATGCACCTTCCTTTCCTGTTCCCCCTTCGCCTCTTCTCAATATCTGCTGCTGTGAGGCGGCGAATTCGATTGGGACCGCGACGAGGCGCAGCGCAAATTCCTCCAACTGGCCGTGGACCGTGGGGCGGACGAGGCCAGCCCCGGAGCTATTCCCATTGCTCGCCCGTGGTCGTGCTACGTGTTGGTCGCCCAAGTGGCCTACGGCTGGATGTTGCTCGAAGCATTGCAAGGGGGGATCGATCTTGGAAAGACTTAGACATGAGCATCGAGTGACCGTAGCAGTCTGGTGAAGCGATCACAAACGATCGCTTTGAGGCTAAGATGAACCAGATGTGTGTTGCCAATGTTTGTTCAGCTTGCGGTGCAATCTTTGGGTCGGCCTGCCGACATGCTCGGCTCGTTTGCGTGAATGCAAGGCTAGTCTGCATGGCAGCGTCTGCCACACGATTATGTCATGTCCCAGAGCTTGCGCCATACAAATAGATGATCGACTTGCGAGACAAGTGGGTACACTGGCGTGCCCTCGTGGAGACATGGTCGCGGCCGAGTCGATGGACTCGCGGAGCTTGAGAAAGAACGTGTGGTGCGTTACGAGGAGTTGGTGTATGAAGATAGCGCATGTTGCAGCGTCTGGGAGAATGAAGCGGAGGGCAGGCGGCGTGGATGGTTCAACCTAGAGGGCGGCGGCAGGGCAGAATGTTTGTCAGGTGGAGCTGTTTGCCAACGCACCGATGTGGTGGATGAGTAGTTCGAAGTCGTCATTCGGCGGTGGACCTTGCCTTTCCGCCTAACCGCATGCCTCGCGCTTGCCTGTTCTGGCTACGCCCTCTGCCTGTCGCAACATTATATGCAGCCTCGAGTTACTCATTCGGTCGATCTTGCGCTGCGACCCTGGCCTTTGCCTTCACCACCTTATCGGGTTTCGCGTGTAGTCATTATTTGTTGTTTCCGTGTCTGCCCTCAACCTACTTGCCGTCACCATCAAAATTGGAGTTCTAGTGCCCGTTCGTCCACCGATGGTTGGTTATGTATGTTCATCCACGTCCCTCGTCACCCTGACCACTGCCCCCTCCTCCGATGTTGCCCGACGGGTCCAATCGTCTAATTCATTCCTTTTTATCCGAAACACATTCTTATTCATTGCCGGGATGCCCATGCTGACACCCTCTGGCTTCACAAGTCGCACCTCTTTTGGTGTATTATTGTTGGCTGTTTGTGGCATGCTGCGCGGACTCGAAGAAGGCATGGCAGACAGTGCTTGGAATTGTTTCGCCAGTGGTGCAGTGGCAGCGTGAAGACCACATGCGTTGTCACGAATGCCGGGAGGAGCATGAGAGGACACATCATGATAAGGAGTGACCGGTAGAAGAGAACGGACAATTGAACAGGCAGCGGCAGAGGGAACATGCAATGTGGGCACCGTTGCGAGGTGACCAGGCTGGGCATTACAGTGTATCATGGTTGAAAGTTTGATGCTTGTTGTATAGATCGAGTTCCTTCTGCTAGTAATTGGCACGACGTCGCCTTAAACTGAAGGGTAATTTTGGATAGTCGGACGAATGCGCCGTGGACTGGTAATTCACTTTAGTGTGTTTCCTAGGCTTCCCCGTGCGATTACGAATAGTTATAGATTCCAGGAGTTCCGCTTCAGGATGTATTGCCCCCTCCTCACTCGGCCAGGGCCCGCATCAGAAGCTTTCGGGAGCTCATCAATGGTTGCCGTTCGTGGGCATATTGTTTAACGCGTCCGCTTGAAGGGGCTATTCTAGCCGCGTAGGTTTAACGTCCCCAGATTGTTCCCGGATGCTCCACGGGACCGCCAATTCTTGTGCGCTTTGTGACCTCATCCGTGCATGACTCATACGAGACACCAACGCACTTATCAGCCAGTGGGTCCTGCATCGTGGCTGCTTGCAGCCGACCTGCACGAATGGTAAGCCATTCGAGCACCCAGTTCGGAAACCACTATTGGAAGCTTGGCTTCAAGTCTAGATAGCGCGAGCTGTTGATATCCACTAGATTGCGTGGTGGTCTCACTGATCCGAATAATTGGGCTGCTTAAGCGTGAGGAGAGCGAGCTCGCAGACAGGGAAGGCAACCGGACAGGAAACAGTCCGCTTCTTCTTTCCCCGTCCCAGCTGTGCGCGGGAGGTTCGCTAGAGAGCCCGGGCGATTTCGCGGCCTACCTGGCCGAGGTGACGGCCCATGCGCGCAGCGGCTGGCACTTGCCCGTGAAGTCTGTGGCGCCGTTCAACGAACCGTCCGCAGGCAATGTTTTCCTCATATGCCCCCTTCTACAGCAAAGTAGCGTCAAAAACAAAAGAACGGCAACGCATTGATGGCCCGACTCTGAGCCCGAAGATCTCGATGCATGTACCGTCAAGGGCATGCGGCTCATAGAGATTATGTTGGTTTCGTGCTCCCCTATGAGCCAATCAAGAAGCCAGCGACGCCCTCCTTAGAATGTGTGCTAGCAGCCTCTTGTAGGCATGTTATATGCACCATGGGCCGTCTCGAGAAGCCTACTGTAGACATGCAGCGAGCATGCTGGAGACATGTGAAGGCTTCTTTAGAGGCCCCTTTGAGTGTTCTTAGGCTCCCTTGGAGGCCTTTCGGGCACAGGAATGTGATGAAAGCGTCACCCCTCATGTTCTCGATCTCCTGGGTGAGTTTGCCTCTCGGGCCGTCTTGCAGCCAACCCACGTGCGGCCGTCTTGAGAGGCTCTTGGGGCTTCCATGGGCTGCCTTGGAGCGTTGATTACAGAGCGCCCCTCCTGAAGCCATATCGGGCCGAGATGCTTGGAAGACGGCTGGAAACATGTGAGAAGACGATTTGGGGTCTTGGGGTCTTCGTGATCGTTCTGGTCCCTGTGTATGCGTCCGTTTCCACACCCTTGGTGAGGAAGAAAACGGCTTTCAAGTGCAACCAGTTTTCGCGTTACGACGGCGGTTGTTGAAGCATGCGGTCCGCTCCCATCATAAAAAAACATTGTTTGGCTTCTTGGAGATCTCTTGGAGCCTCTTGGGGCAACAGCGGGGGGTGGTCCGAAATGGTCGCACCCTTTTACGCGACAGTATTACGCAGTAATTCCTAATTCGGGGTCCCAGGGAGCGGGTGTCGATTGGACTGGGCCCTTGGGAATGCGCGTGGACTCGTATCTGACGTCATCGGGCCAGGCGCAGCATTTCAGACCGCCCGGTACGCGCAGGAACAGCATCACGAATTGCAGTTCATCGGGAAGAAGGTCAGGTGATGTGTTTTCTCCGGACCGTGCGACGCGAGGGGCGCAAATAGAGTTGCCCCACGAATGTCACCTGGTCGTCGCGGTTACAGGATAAGTAAAGACGACTTCGGCGAGTCATCGCCGCCCCATGCCTTGTGGAAACGCTTGTGTCGTGAAGCGTCGAGCGAAACTGCGGCCACGCTTATGGGCAGCGTGTTCCTCCAGCTGTTTGGGGAAACCATTGGTGGAGCACCCCGATCGTCTTGGGGCTGTCTTGGATCGACTTGCCCAAGGGCAACGTTGGGGGGGTTAGGCTCAAGGGGGGACGCTTCGATCCCCAATCGCCCATTCATCGCCGATATGGGCCTGATAGCCCACCCCGCCCAGGAACGTTCGAATTCGCTGTCGCGGGCCTGTCGGCGATGTATCGCATGTCAGGTCGATGATTATCCCCCTGAGCTGATCCCCCCCTATCGTTTCCCTTCACCTGCTGGCGACAAGGGCTCTCTTGGACACCCTCTTGGAGCCATCTTGGGCGGAAAAGCCGGTGGGAGACACGCACCTTTTGTGACCGCTTTTGCGGGTGCTGGCGGGTCGGGCCGAGGGCCACAGGGAATTTATTGGAAGGGCCCAAAGGAGCTATAAAATTTGGCGGGCCGCTGGCCCTACGCAGGCTACAGGGGACACGCCTACACTTGAGGACACCCCACTCACTGCCTTCGGTGCAGGGGCAACCCTAGGGGGGATAGGCTCAGGGAGGAAGGCATCGACCCCCAACCGTCCACTTATCGTCGATAGAACGCGTTGATACGCTATCGGGTGCTTATCGCTGATGCTTCGACGGTATATCGCCGATTCCAGGTCGATGTTCCCCCTCCTGAGACAGTCCCACCTATCGTTGCCCCTCAACGGCGCAGCGGCTGATACGAATGTATAGTGGTACGGGCGTGCGGCACAACGGTGTTCGTGGGCGGCTGTATTCCTTCGAACGATGAATAGTTGCTTCGTCATCGGCTGGCTTGGCAAGGTTCGCGGCACACTTCGCCGCGTGCGGGGGTGTTTCTCAGCCGAGTGCTTGGCCCATATTACATGAACCCTTCCCGATCAAATTAGCTTGTCAGGCGGCGGGCAAATTGACGGTGATTCTTCTTGGCGAGGTGGCATTTCGGCTCTTCTGGGGACCTCTCGGACACAAATGTTGTGCCTGAAGACTTTGCGGCAGAAAGAATTGAGTCTGCACCACGTGCAATCAGAACGGCTATTCGTGGGGGCTTGCACGTATAAGGATCAAGTGCGTGGCCGCAAGCGACTCACCTAGCAACAAGTATAATATAGTGGGTTACAAGCAGTGCATGTATTGGCCCTGGGACTCTCAAGCGAAAGTCTGAGTCCCATGCAGGCCCGCCCAGCAGTATAGTGCGTGTGCGTCCAACTGCCCCCCACCGTATAGTTTAGATGCTGCGCGTAACCCCACCAACCCATCCAGAAAGATGCCCACGCGAGCTGCCCTGATTAGAGAGAGCATGCAGTGGAATAAAGGGCTGGGGAAACCATCATACTCCAAGAGGGGGGATAGAGGAGGAGCTCAAAGAGCGGGAGGGGGAGAAGGAAGGAGGGAGGAGAAGGAACAGGCGGATGAGGAAGAGGAGGACGAGGGAGAGCAGAATGGCCAGAGGCCTCTTGGATGATTCTCGGAGTCTCTTCGGATGTCTCTTGAGAGCTTCGTGTAGCCTTCCTGGTGCGTCGTGGAGGTCCCTTGGCGGTCCCGAGGGCCTCCTGGAGCGTCTTGGGTGCCTCGGGTGAGCCTCGCGGGGCATCTTCAGGACCTCGTAGTGGGGACCTCTTGAGGGCCCCTTGGGGCCTCGCGAGCGCCGTCTGGAGCCCTCTCGGGGCACTCTTGGGAGCGCTGGGGGGCCATCGTGGGCCCATCTGGGAGGAGTTCGATCAGAGAAGGAGGGGTGCCATCCAAGCGCCCCCCCCCCGAGGCCAACCTGGTTTCAACACCGAAGTAAAGACCATCCTGGCCGCTCCCATGGGCCGCGATCCCCCCCCCGTCCAGTCCCAGGGGAGGGGAGAAGGGGGAGGGGTAAACCCCTCCCCGAAGGGAAAGAAGAGAGGTTCGAATAGGAAACGGTTCAAACCATTCACGCCCAGAGGGCTGGTGGGATTGTCGGACACGGCCCGAAATCTAGATCTGGAGACGTGTCATGCCCTCGGGACCTATTCTCAGCTGCTTTTTGTCGGTGGGCACTCCCATGGCGCCCGTATCTTGCACACCAGCCCCGCTGATCGAGATCGTCCCCCTGCGGCGGCCAGGGGTCCAGCGTGAGCGATTGAAAGGGGCCAGCAGAGTGTTTGCACCAGGCATGGAGCGACCAGGAGAGCAGCGGGACGGGCGCAGCGAGTGGAAACAGTTGTGACCAGACAATTGGGGATAAGCTGAGATGATGGATGGCAAGATTTGAGCTGGGGCCCCTTTGCGTTGTTCACCGAGCACTTGTGCGTTGCAAGCGTGTTGGTCTGAATTAGTTGTAAATGATACATCCCCAGGGTGGTGGAAGTTCCCGCACGACCAGGAGAATTGACGCACTCCCATGGGGACTGTGAGGTTGGCACTGGGTGTGGGGTCGAAGTTGCACAATCAGAGCAACAGTTGCGACATCCGTGTATTGATGTTGTCGCGTAGGCTGCGTGGGTGACACCGCGGGGGGGGGGGGGGGGCAGAAATGCGGCGCAGGACTTGGAAGCTGAGAGTTTGAAATTCGCTTCTGGGCGCAGCGGACTGCAGATACCCATCTGCCCGTGGCACACCGCGCCACGATGCCAGCGCAGAATCGAAGTGCATGGCTCTCTGCCGAGCTCTCCCGAAGAGGCTCGGTGGGAGCACAGTGCTGCGGGGCCGCGAGCCCTACCGAGCTCTTCCGAAAGGGCTCGGCAGAACTTGGCATCGTCTGGGCGGGCCTCTGCTCCTCATTTGGGCCTTCTTGGGGTGGTACTCGACCGACTTAACAGCTCATCGAACCGTTCAGGAGCCTTCGTGCAGGGCCGTATTGGACCATATAGGCGGTTACGTTGGGCCCTGTGGGGCCGGCATACAAAAAACATTCATGTTTTTCGAGGTGTTCCTGTATTGAACACATGGGAGCCACAGCTGATTGAATAAACAATGCACGGCCCCATTGTCTGCATCCGGTTGCTTGACTGTGACGTGCACCGCGTTGAATTGGGATAAGTTGTTGTGAATCACATGGTGTTGAATTGGCTTGTTGTATTGAAGTCGTTTGTTTTGCATGGATTGGTTTGGCTGTGCACTGGGTGTCTTTGTATGGCGTTGCTACGAAGTGCATTTAAATGCATTGCGTTGTATCAGTGGCGTGCATTGTGTTGCTTGTATGTGCGATGCTTTGCGTTGGTTTAGTCTGCGTCGCGGTACATACATTTCAATTTGAGGAGGTCCTAGAGGACCTCCCATGAACCGAGCAAAGGCGTCACGAGGAACCCCATGGAACCTGGCTTGGGGACGCAATTGCCACCAGCCAGCCTTCACGGAGCGCGATGTTTGTCTGTTGTTGGGGCATCCCACGGTTCTGTTGCGTGGGGGGTGTCGGTGCTCTGCTGCGCTCTCTGAGGCCCCTGGGGACGGCTTGGGGTCACCTGGCAAGGCTGTGGAGCCGCCTTCGGGATGTGTTGGGTCGTCTTGGAGGATCAGGGCTTTTGTCTGGGGGCGAGAAGAGCGCCCTGAAGGAAAAGGTGGGCGGGGTGCTACTGGTCTGCGTACAGGGTGGCGGCTGGCCATGGGAAATCACGGCAACTCGATCAGCCTGCTGACAGGCATCGCAGCACGCTCCAGCGTGTCAACAGTTTTGCGGGTAGAACGACTTGCATTGAGCTCTTGAAAGTGAGAGTTGACTTGGACGGAACTACACCGACTTGCGCATTATGTTTGGCTAGTGGTCGATCCACAGGGGGTTAAGTGCAGGGCTGCAGCCACAAAGTGATTTTGCATGTGCTGCTGTAGGGAGAAAGTGGCCAGACCGCTCCAGCATGGAATGCTCATGTAGCAGCAACCTTCCCTCGGGAAGCCCAAGTCGTGCCCACTATGGGGGACCTGGGGGAGTCTATCAACATCTGTCTTCGGTCACAGCAGCTGCGCCCGCACGCGGACGCACTCACAAGAGCAACGCCCGACTGTCTCTCTTGACAGGGCGGCACGTCTGCCCTGCGCCCAGATCGGGGCACCGCGCCTGCCTCCTTGATGGAGCCGCTCTCTTGGATCCGCTGGTGCTTCGCTCGTTCCCAGTGGCCCTTCCGCGGACCCTTGCAGCCGCCTCCGCCGCCTCTCGCCCCTTCGCCCCCACCACCACCGAGCCTCCACAGGCCTCGTGCCGCCCCCCCATTCCGCCCCTCCTCGCCCCCCCCCCCCACCCCCCCATGCTCGGCTGGCTCTTCCGAGCTGCTCCGGCTGACCTGAGACCTGGATGGCAGACGTCTCTTACGCTCCAGCTGCCCGGCAACCGCATCCGACAAAAAGCGAGCCGTGAAATCCCGAGCGGCGTTCCGTCCAGCTCTTTGGGGGCAGTTGGCCTTCCGCTCCTCCGCCCCCTCACAGCAGCCTCCCCTCCGCCCCTGCAGCCCGCCCCGCGAGCCGCACCGCCGCCGCGAGGCCCCCGGCTCCAGGGAGCGCCCGGCCCCGCGGGCGGCGGCCGCTGCGCCGGCCGCTGCGCCGGCGGCTGCAGCCAGGGCGGACGGCCCAGGGGCGAGCACTGCACCGAGCGCGGGCCGACGTGTTGGCGACGTGTCCCGCGCCGTGTGCGCCCGGTACTCGTCCGAGGGCCAGCGTGCCTCGCACCGGGCCCGCCACAACTGGGGGAGCTGTGGTCCTTACCCCCCTGGGGGGGGCCCATCGATCTCGACACCCCTCTCGAGAGATCGTCGAGGCGATGGGTTCCCCCAGGGGGGGTAGGGACCACAGCTCCCCCAGTTGTGGCTCGTCGGTCGCACGCCTGCCCGCCGTGACGGCGCGGCGGAGCCCGGCGGGATTGCCGCCGTCGGCGCTCCGGGGGAGCGCGCTGGTCTCGACCAAGTTCCGGGGGGGCCCCGAAGGGGCCCCAGACGTTCGCCTTCCCCACGACGGCGCTTGCGAACGGCGCCGACGTCGCGAGTGGATGCCCGCGCGCGTAGCCCGGGGCTCCGATCGCCCACGTCTTCGACGAGCCTCCCCCGCGAACGAGTGCAATGCCCGCCCCTGGGCTGCCCACCCCTTGCCAGCTCCACCTCGGCGGTTCCCCCTTCCGCCGGCGGCGTGACGGCTGCTCGCATATGCCCGGGGAGAGCGGCCTGCCGCCCGAGCGGACCGAGGGGGAGCTCGGGGAGCGCCACGAGAGGGAGGATCGGGCCGGGCGAAAGGGGAGGATTGGGAAAGGGGGGGGTACGAAATTTGCTGCATGCAGCTGGTTTCGGCCTCACCGAGGGGCCCATTCCTCGATACATAGCCGCTTCCAGCGCCAGGAGGCGCCGGGAAAATCAGCTACGTGAGCTGATTCTCACCCCCCCCCTTTGCTATCCCCCCCTTTCGCCCGACCCGAGAGGAGGCGGAGCTGGAGGAGAGGGCGCGCGCGCACATCGAGGCCGCCAGGGCGGCCGGCAAGGGCAAGAAGGCCAAGGAGAAGGTCGAGGCGGCGGAGCGCGAGACGGAGGCGTGGCTGTACGACCTGCGCGAGCGGCAGAGATAGAAGAGCAAAACAAAGCAGGAGCACACTTGTTCGGAGCTCCGCGCGGATTTCTTGGATCTGCGCATGGCCCCCTGCCTCCGGCGCCGCCCCTTCGCTGGCGTGCTCCGCGCGCCAGGAAGGGGGGAGTCGGCGTAGATCCAAGAAGCCCGTGCTGACCTCGAAGATGTCATGCTCGTTCCGTTTTTTGTTCATCTGCGAGAGAGGAGCTGGAGCGTCTGCAGGAGCACCTCGGCAGCGGCGCGGCAGACACCGCCGTCTCGGCCGAGCCCTCTGGCGGGCTGGCGCCCGAGAGCCCACCAGGGGGCACCGCCGAAGAGGATGAGGCGGAGAGGATCCGGCAGAAGAAGGAGAAGGCGCTGCGCAAGAGGCAGGGCAAAGCCGCCAAGGAGGCCGAGAAGGAGGCCGAGAAAGAGCGCGAGAAGCGAGAGGCGGGGCCCACGGCCCGCGATCTGGAGATGCAGGCGCTGCAGCTGCAGCTGGCAGAGTGCACGCCGCCGATGCAGCTGCACGAGGTCGCCGCCGACGGCAACTGTCTCTACCACGCCGTGGGGCACCAGATCCGCACCTTGGAGCCGGAGCTGTACGAGTGGAAGCAGAGGCCGGGGAGCGCCCACGAGGAGATGCGCTGGCTTTGCGCCTCGGCCCTGCGGAAGCGCACGGACCAGTACGCCGCCTTCGCGGAGCTGAGGGACGGGGAGGACTTCGAGGGCTACTGCGCCCGCGTCGAGGCCTCGTGCGACTGGGGTGGGGAGCTGGAGCTGCGCGCCTTGGCCGACGAGCTGGGCGCCAGAATCCTGGTGCACCGCGCGGAGGAGCGGGAGCCGCTGGCGCTCGGGCCGGAGCGAGAGGGCGCGCCCGTGCTGCAGGTGGTGTTCCACAGGCACTTCCTCTCGCTCGGCGAGCACTACAACTCGGTGGTACCCCTGAGGAAGGGCTAGCAGGTGCGGCCGAAGAGAGCGCCCACCGAGGGATGAGCCCGGGCCGCGTGCAGAACGGGAGAGTTGCGAGAGTGTGCCATGTCGCCTGGAGCTCGGAAGGCTGTGGGGAGCCGCACAGCTTGCTTGAGGAGCGCACGCGCAGCTGTGCGATGCGGCTGACGAGTACCAGCCGTCCCCCGCGGCTGCTCTCGGTGCGAGCTGGATCTCTGGCGGTCTGGCCCTGGGCTGAATAGCAAAAGAAATCAACACACACACACACACACACACACACGCGCACACATACACACGCGCACACACGCATGCAATCTGAATTGTTCGATCGCTGACGAAATGCGAGTCGGTCAGGGCGGATCTCAAGAACGAAAACCGCCACCAGAACTTTCCAGTGGGTGCTCACAGCCGTCAGCATTGGCACAACGATCACCACTCTGATGCACGTGCGTACTGATGAACGAGCATGTACACACATGCACATACAACTTGCACACAGCATGCGCTTTGCATGTGTGGCAGCCGCGTGGCAACGGCCGTCCGTCGTGCGCGTGCTTCAGTCCGACGGTAACCAGACTGGATTGCTTACCGGCAGGCACGCGCATCGACAGTGCAATCGGCCCGCCTACTTCAGTTGCGCTGCCGCGCACATCCGCCACCGTGCTGTGGAGGGGGTGGGGCGGGGGGGAGGCGGGTAAATCGGGGAGGCGGGGGCTGGGGAGGTGGGGGGGGGACGGGGGGTCCACGACCCACCACAGTAATTAGATGAACCTGACGCGATCCTAGTTACGGGCCTTCTTTCTACCACAGCAATTCACAGCAGTACTGAGCCATGCAAACCAGTGTAATACGAAGCATTGCTTGGCATTTCTTGGCAATTCTCGGCATTTCGCGGCATTATTTGTGGAAGTCCGAGGAAGCCAAGCACAGAACCTGGGCGGGGAGCCCGAGAAACCTCGGCGAGGAAGTTTGAGGAACTAGGCTAGGAACAAGACCACGGGACGCCGCGGAATGCCCCCATGAATCCAAGCAAGGAAGAAGACCCAGGAACCTTGGGAACCCCGAGGAAGGCCTCTGAAAATTGACCCTGTACTCAACGGTTTTTTCAATAACAGATAGGAGCACCTTAGACAAAGCCTAATTCGGGAATGCCGGTTTCGCCTCGATTTGCCCCAGAGCCAAAACCTGGCCGGGTACAGTCACGAACTTATGCTCAGCGCGTCGCGCCGCCGGTTTTGGCCCACAACGCTTCGGCGCGACGCGCTAACCACGTCACCATTTCAAAGCATCAAAGTTCCGAGCTTCGCCCCACTTGCCGCCACGCGGAGCGGAGCGGCACGCTATCAGTTTGCAGGGCAGAGCGTGTGCCGCTGACAGCACGGCGGCGGACGTGTAGCAGTCCATGCTTTCACGCTCGTGGCCCAAGGGCATGGAATGCCCACCTTGTTTTCTTTCCTCCTGGTCCTCGACATCCTCCTGCGGTCGATCGAGTACACGCTGGATGGGGCCAGGCCCAGGGGACTCCTCGGCTTGTCAGAACCGCCTTGGGATTATTCCCGGGCCAAGCGAGTTGTCCGCAAAGCGTGGCCCTATCCAGACACGCCTAGCAGAAGTCCAGAAGCTCTCTCCGACCTTGCGCGTAACTCATCGCCGCAGGAGGGTTGCAACATTCCTGCCGACCAGCAGGGCCGACTCCTCCTGCGCCTCCGCGACGAGCTCGACAGCCGCGGGCTGGGCGACGTTGTTGTGGCTGCGAGCGACGAGAACCGGCCAGACACAGGACAGTTTTTGGACAGACGTTTGGTTGTGTGGCGTTGCAGAGGAAGAGAGAGAGGGGGAAAAAAAAGACGCGCGCAGGCACAGACCATACAGCGGAAGACATGGAAGTCGAGTGAGGAGATATAGGTAAACTTGTGTGTTCGAGAGAGAGGGATATCGATCTACGAGTACCTCTACATGGGTATCTTTATATTGAGAGGAGAGAGAGATAGAGAGAGAGAGAGAGAGAAAACATACATATAAAAAAACAAACATATGTATAGACATGATATGACATGACATGAGATGAGATGAGATGGGATGAGCAAGCTGCCTGAAACCAGGTGCGTTCGGGCGCCTGGCGCCCGCCACTGGAGGCATCGGAGGCCTCTTCGAATTCCGAATCGTGGGCCTCTTTAGGCCCATGCTCGGCCTCCTTGCGCAGGAGTCTGGCCCCTTCGTCGCGGGAGGCCGCCAGGTCAGACTCCCGAAGGCCAAAAGGCCATCAGCACCTCGGCTCGGGACGTCATCCCCGCCGAGGTTCCCACGCCACGCAGCCCCCCTCCCCCACCTTCCTGAGCCGAGGCAACAGAGCCAAAGAACGAGGCCAGACGCAGCCGAACCGCCAGCGGGACGCCGCCTGGGGTGTCGAGGCATGGGGCCTTCAGGCCCGCCTTGTACGAAGGGTACTTGCTAGCCTTGATCAGTGCCAGCTGGTACTTCAGGCCAGAGCCCGCGAGAGGTCGCGGAGACACGGCAGAAGAAGAGCCTTCGTCGGCCGTTCAGCATTGAAACAAGCACCCCAAGCACAGCAAACATTGATGGCCTTGCCATCATCCCGACCCGATTTGGCGCACATTGTGGCGTGAAGACGCGAGTGGCCGCTGAAGTTGTACCGAACATCGCGATATTCTTTGAAGCCGTCTGCTGGGGCTGCCGGAGGGGGGGCCTCAGCTCGCTCCGACCCTTGCGCCTGCCCGCCTGGCTGGTCCTCAAGCTCGTGTGGCGGGGCCTCCGCCAGCTCACGGCTGGCCAGGCACCGCTCCATTAAATCATCTTGGTCCTGGCAGGCCTTTCCCCTCCCCGGCCAAAGCGCGCAACCGCCCACTCCACCCATCCAGTTCCCTACAGTCGGGGCCCTGATGAAGGAACCCTTTTCGTTGGGGAGGGGCTCCGCGCTCCTTAAGTGTTTCACAGCTTGCCTCAGGCTTTCCTTATGTTTTCGACGGGAAATCGAAGGTTAACTTATGGAAAAAAGGTGTCTCGTTCCTTATTTAGGGTTCCTTAGGTCAACGCCCCGACTGTAGAGGCCTCGACCAGGCCACGCCAGAGGTGGTACTCGCTCTCCTCCACTCCGTGGAGGGCGGCACCCCGCTTCGCGAATGCGTCGGCGGCATCGTTGCCACGCTTCTCCCACAAGGTGGTGCGATCATTTGGCACATCTACCATGCTGCAATGGGCCCTGGTCTTGTGGGCCGTAAGATCGTTGGGCTCGAACGCCGCCAACAAAGGTGCCCACAAGTGGGCCCGAGGATTCTCTGCGCTAGCTACAGCTCCAGGGCCACTCCAGAGCGTAGAGACCGTGCCTTTACAATCGATGTACAGATCGAACGGGGGCATGGTTACCTGGCAGAGCACGCTCACAGCATAGTCCCCGGCCCCCCGAGACGACTGGAAAGGCCCCTGGTTCAAAGGGGCTGGGCCGTACGCAGCAGCCAGCACTCCGCCAATGCGATCACACATGACGACGGACCACCCAGCCCTGGACAGAGCCCTGGATCCAGTGAGCAGGGCCGAGCCGTCCAGAAACAAAATCCCAGTCATATGGCCCGACTCGGGCCTCTGGTGCCAGAAAATGGTCTGATGGTCCTTGGCCCGCTGGGGCAACTCGAAAAGGTGGCGAGGGTCGGTGAGGATCCCCCTAGCAGAATGTCCGCCCGCCTCAAAACTCCAAGCTTTTGACCTATGAGCCCCACACAATAGATTCGCCGAAACATGGTCCCGTCGGAGGGCTGTGTGCGCATCGCACTCGCAGCACCTATGCCAACAGGAGCCGTCGGGGTGGCCACACGCCACGCAGTTGGCCGAAGGCGCCGACCCTTCGTTGTGGAGCCGAGCCTGGGACCAACAAGTCCCCGAGATCACAGCCTTCAAGGCCCTTTGCTGTTGCACCGTCCAGCTGGTGGAGGTCCTGTGGACCAAAAGCTCCAGGGCAAACCGCGGCCTTCAGCGCTAGCCTATCCGAATCACGCCTCACTCCTTCCTCGACTAGCCTCCGCACCGCAGCTGGGCTCAGCCGCACAAGGTTTATGGAGCCGCCGTCGTCCAGGAGCGCCCCAGCCGATGCCACGGATCATCAAAAAGTAGACATCAGCGGATGATGCCGCTGCTACCCAGGGTCGCTTCGATTTCGAGCACCTGTCACGGGCCATCTCCAGAGTCTTGCTGAGCACCTGAGGCTTGGGGTTCCCTTCCCAGCATGCAGTACCCCACTGGAGCCACACCTGGCTGAGGACAATGACCCACGGATCGACACGCCGACCATCTCGGCATGAATGCATCCTGAGCCCCACTGAGGCCCCACGAGGATATCTGCCCAAACTCTTACACGCCGCCACACGCAAGTTATGCAGATGCCGAGCCCACCAGTGCGCGTGGGGCTAGCCGTGGCGTTTGCCCCTTTCTCACGGAGGAAACAGTGCAACTGCCAAAGAGGCTCGTCATGGCGAGCGGGATGATCGAGCACACTTGGGCCCGCCTTTGCAGCGGCGCTGGGTGCTGTGGAATGCCCGGGCCAACCTCGCTCGCGCCCTCACTCCCTTCCAGCAGCTTCGGTAGCTTCGGGCGCAAGCCAAGGCCAGCAGCGCCGGCGATTGGGAGACCAGTCGCCGCCAACTTCCCCGCGCCACCTCGGCCGCTTGCAGCGCTGGACGGAAGGCCGCGCATATTGTGGGGTGGATAGATCATTGGGACATCGCTGCAGATTTCAGCAAGACCCCGCCTCGCACTCTCACCGACCTTCCACGCGAAGGCCCCCAGAGAGAGCCTGAGCTTCGCGTTGCCAGGGGGCTCGGCCGCCCACCCGGCATGCGCGCGACGTTCGATCTTGCGCGCGGGCGACCGTGCAAGCGCGGCAAGCAGCAGACTCGCCAGTAGCAGGCCCTCTTTTTGAGTGCGACGGAAGCGATCTGGGCAGGGGTGAGCGCGCGATGCAAGGTATCTCACGGATGGCACGTGCCCGCGCGGCACGCGAGATATTTCGCACCACCGCGTTGCGCCTTGCACGAGGCCGTGGAAATCCAGAATGGGTTAGAAACGTCATCGGCCACTCTCAAAAAGGGGGCACACAGAGATGAGATTGTTCTCGCCCGCGGGTTGTTTTTTTATGTTTGCGATGCTCATGCGCACTCCCACCCGCCATTAGCTCCCATTGCGAGATCTTCGACGGCGTGGGGGCCGAACTGGACATGCAACCCAAGGAGCCCGCGCCCCATGCAGGAGATGTGGCGGAGCCCGAGATGGCGGCCGACGGGAGCGGCACCACGCTGGCCCTCCGCTGTCTCCACCGAGCGCCGTGATCGATCGCCTTAATGAAGCAAGGCACCGAATCTCTTCTCACCGCTCTGCGAGGTGCAGTGCCAGGAGGGGGGGGGGGGCTCAGACTCCAGCGATGGCCAAGCACGCTGCTGCTGCTGCTGCGTTGTACGGCCGAGATGCAGATAGCTTCGCATACTTGGCCCGCGATTGCAAATCCGTGATTTGCCAGACTAAGCGTCCACGTTGGAAACAGTGCGTTGGCGCCAATAAGCTTGCTGTCGCGAGGCGTTTTGCCCATGAGCTACCAGGCACCATTCATTGGTCCACCTTCTACGTGCAGGCCCATCTTGAGCCCGAGGCTACTCATGGGGCTGGAAGGTGATGATCGTCTTTTGGGTTATAAGAATCGAGCCGTGGGTGACCATGCCAAAAGAGGCCCCCGAGGGCAACCCGCAGCTCGATGCAAGGTGCTTGCAGCACGCTGACTTCACGTTAGATCGACCGAATGCTTTCGCGATGCTAGACATCCTGGAACAGATCGTGATGATGGCCCTCCTCTCTCCTCCATTCCCCCCCTGTCACCCCTTCAGTCGTTCCCCGTTTCCATCAGTTTTTCCTCTGGATTGCCACCTTCGCCGCCTTGGGAAATACGGCGCCCGCTGTAGTTGCATCGGAACGGAAGACACCATCCAGACCCCCCAGCCAAGGGGGCCTAGAAACTACAGCGAAATCACAACATGTTCATGGCCGTTGTATGTTGCACAAGCCCGTGGAGGACGACATCCCCAAATGATGTCGTGGTGTTCAAGCCATCCCGCCACCGCGCTTGGGTCGTGGGGCAAAGGCGTGTTGGATACCTCACGGAGTTCCGTGGGATGCCCCTTTGGTTGTAAAAGGGCTCGCAGCGGACTCATGGGGAGTGTCGGGGGCCTTTGGGTGACATCCTTTCGCTTTCCTCTTCGTGGCCGAGGCGTGTTGGACTGCATGAGTGTTCTCTTGGCCTGTCTTAGGTCCTATTGAGCCGTCGTGGGGCGATATGTCGCGTCTCTTGAGCCGGCATGGGGGCCCTGAAGCTCCAAACCGCGAGTGTCCCGTCTTGGAGCTCACTGGCTTCGGGCAAATTGGCATAACAAGACCCGGGAGATCCGCCACTTGGGCCCCTGGGCCCTTCACGAGAGCACCACGGGACCAGAGGACGTTTTTTGTGGCGGATCTATTTTATGCCAGCAGCAAGGCCCACACGCTGTACGCGCAAATCCCTGTTTTTCATGAGCCGTCCCTGGCTCGGAGCCTGGTATTCGATTCGGCTTGATATGGATGACGCGGCGAAACATGTCTCAGTATGGGCCAGCGCGGCTTCCCGAGTGTAAGCGCATGTTCAGGCCTCTCCCAGTATGTGAAGAAATGGTATGATATGTTTTCATACAAAGCCGAAGACAGCATCCCCACGGGAAGGAAGGAATAATGGAGGAGAGGAGTGCGTGTACGGCTTGTTGGAGAACGACGGGGGAGAATGCTCCAAGGTCCGTGAATGCGGGTATTCGCGGTTTCCCACTGGCCCCGAGAGGGAGCGGAATAGATCGTCAGACGGACGAGAACGGTTCCCACGCGATGGAGACAAGTCGCACATGGCCGATGCAGCACAGAGTGAGGCAGAGCAGAATGGACGGCTAGAAATGGCGGGACTGGACCATGAATTGCTTCACCGGGTAGAGACGTGCCCACATCGGGGGATCAGCTTCCAGGAGCCCCAAGGGAAGTCGAGGAGGAGGAGGCCGCCGAGGAGCAGCAGGAGGAGGACAGACCGCTGCAGGACGAGGCGAGCCATGGCGTCGCAGACCGCCGCGCGCGCCCGCGGCAAAGACCGCTCCAGCGGAGAGAACCTGGAAGAAGCTGAAGACGGGCCCTGCGCACGGGTGCGTGGGGCGCATCAACAGGGGTAACTCGGGTCAGGGCTAACTCGGGTTCGTTTTTCGGGAACCCAAACCCGACTTACCCCGGACCCGAGTTACCCAGGATAACTCGGGCGCCCAGAGCCCCGAATCATCAGGGCTAACTCGGGTCAGGGCTACCTCGGGTTCCTTTTTCGGGAACCCAAACCCGCGTTGCCCCGGACCCGAGTTGCCCCGGATAACTCGGGCGCCCGAGGTGCGTGGGGCGCATCAACGTCCACTCGTACGACGGGCTGGAGCCCTGGAGCGAGGCGAAGCACCCCGGGGTGCGCGCCTCACTCCGCCGCCTCGTGGCCAGGGACGGGCTCCCACTGTGGATGTCGGAGTTCGGGAGCGGGAGCAAGGCGCGCCCTGCCTTCCTCCTCCTCCTCCTCCTCCTCCTCCTCCCCCTCCTCCATCCTCCTTCTCCTCCTCCTCCTCCTCCTCCTCCCCTCCTCCTCCTCCTCCTCCTCCTCCTCCTCCTCCTCCTCCTCATGAGGACGACGACGAAGATGTTCAGAGGAGCACGAAGTCCTGACAGTGATGCGCGCAAGGTTCCCCGGGCTCGCGGGGACACCACGCTTCCCTGCTGTCCTGCACGGGTTCCAGGAACGAGGGCGGCCACTCTGGAAGTCCCGGAACGCATCCTGAGCGTTGAGCCAATCGAACCATGACACCACGGTCGTCCTATGTGGGGACGGTTTCCCTCCCGATCTTTGTGGTATGATTTGCTTACGGTTATGTCATTCCTTCATTGCGGGGATCCCCAAGAGATGTCGAGCGGCGCTTGCTCGCGATTCGTGTCTGTCACCTTCTGGGACACGGAGGTGCATCGCACCAAACCCTTGATGTCAAGGCAGGTGTCGGTGGGTGGGATCGTGTTTCAAAAAGCCCACCCAGGGGATTAGATCGATGGGACCCCCCTTCGGGTGATGAGGAGGGTGGGGGGATAGCGATTGGCTACGCGTCGTCGGTGTGGCAGCACATTGCTTCTGACGGGAAAGATTGCCTCCTTCACCAGAAACGTACAATTGTCATAGCACGTGCAATGATTTGTATTCCAATGTATCCGTTCATTTGCGTATGCGGCTTTGATTAGCTGATTAGTTCAAAGTAGATAGATTGGTCGTCCAAGAGTTGGAATTCCAACATGTCTAACTCGTCATAACCCGGTCCCTCTAATTTCCCGAACCCGTCTTACTCGAACGAGCAAGGTGCGCCATGTGTGTTGACTATTCAAACGAATACCATTCCCAGAGCCCATATACCCAGCGCGTGCCACTCCTTATATACATAGATACATGCATACGTGCATGCATACATACAAACAGACAGACACATATACATGCACACGTATATATACATAGACATACACATACACATTTACATACACCTATATATATACATGTACATGTAAACATACATATAAGTATACATATAGTTATGCAAACCTGTACACCTACATGTATACGGACACCTGCACATATATGCATGTATACAAACATGCATATGTACATACATACATGCATACACACATACATATATACGTACATACGTACATGCATTCATGCATACACACATAGATAGCTACACAAATACATACATACCTACCTATATACACACATACATACATACATACATACATACATACATACATACATACATACATGCATGTGTGCATGCATACACACATACATACATACATACATGCATGCATACATATACATACGTACATACACCCATGCGTGCATACATACATACATGTGCATACACACACATACATACGTATATATATATATATATATACGCACACGTATACAAGCAAGCATGCATGCATGCATACAGACATATGGATGTACGAAGCGTAGGCCGTGTCATCCTGATGAGCGCCCCCAGGTTCGTGATGGAGGTCGTTCGGCCCCGCAATGTTGTCCTCCCCGTCTCAACGGTTATAGCGGCACCCCTGCCCGGGTCGTCCTCCTCCTCCTCCTATTCTTCCTCCTTTTACTCCTCCTCCTCCTCCTCCTCCTCCTCCTCCTCCTCCTCCTCCTCCTCCTCCTCCTCCTCCTCCCCCCTCCTCCCCCTCCTCCTCCTCCTCCTCCTTCTCCTCTCCTCCTCCTCCTCCTCCTCCTCCGCCTCCCTCCTCCTCCTCCTCCTCCTCCTCCTCCTCCTCCTCCTCCTCTCCTCCTCCTCCTCCTCCTCCCTCCTCTCCTCCTCCTCCTCCTCCTCCTCTCTCGCTCTCACAGCACTCTTCGAGCCGTCCCCACTACCCCGCATGCTCTCGCCCTCGATCCTGGCCTCCCCTGGCCGGGCGCGGCGGAGGCCGCGGCCCGGGCGGAGGCCGGGAACCTCCCACGGCACGGGCACGGGCGCCCCCCCCCTCCCCCCCCCGTGCTGCCCGCGGCAACCCCAGGACTACAGGGGGGGGGGGGGGGGGGGGGGGGGGGGCAAAATCCTCCGTTTCAGGTTCCGGAATCACCTGGAACCGTTCCGGGGTGATTCTGGAAGCTTGACGCTGACCGTTTCAGGTTCCGGAATCACCCTGGAACCGTTCCGCGGTGAAAACCCATCTGGACCCATTTTGAGCTCCTCCCAGAAGGCTTCTCTCAGCTGTAAAAAGCCCTTTGGCTTCCTGGGCCCCTGTAAAAAGCCCTTGTAGGGCTCCTTCCAGAAGCCCTTAGTGGGTTCCTTCCAGAAGCCCTTGGAGGTCTCCTTACAGAAGCCCTTGGTGGGCTCCTTACAGAAGCCCTTAGTGGGCTCCTTACAGAAGCTCCTTACAGAAGCCCTCACTGGGCTCCTTAGAGGTCCCAGATGGATTTTCACCCCGGAACCGTTCAAGCGTGAAAATCCATTTGGAACCTCTTCCCGACGCAAAACGGCTCTGTCGGGGACGGGGGGGGTGTACCCGAGCTCCCAAAATGGCAATTTTCCAAATGAAATTTCTTATTGGGGAGCTTGTTTTTCGCGGCTGGGTCCTCCCGCGCAGCGTCGAAAGGTTCCAGATGGATTTTCACCCCGGAACCGTTCCAGGGTGAAAATCCATTTGGAACCCCCTCCCGACGCAAAACGGCTCTTTTGGTGGCTTCTGTGAGGAGCCCAATCAGAGCTTCTGTAAGGAGTCCAGTGAGGGCTTCTGCAAGGAGCCCAGTGAAGGCTTCTGCAAGGAGCCCAGTGAGGGCTTCTGCAAGGAGCCCAGTGAGGGCTTCGACGCTGCGCGGGAGGGCCCAGCCGCGAAAAACAAGCTCCCCAATAAGAGATTTCATTTGTAAAATGGCCATTTTGGGAGCTCGGGTACACACCCCCCCCCATTCCCGACAGAGCCGTTTTGCGTCGGGAGGGGGTTCCAGATGGATCTTCACCCTGGAACGGTTCCGCTGTGAAAATCCATCTGAACCTCCCGACGCTGCGCGGGAGGGCCCAGCCGCGAAAAACAAGCTCCCCAATAAGAGATTTCATGTGGAAAATTGCCATTTTGGGAGCTCGGGTACGCCCCTCCCCCATCCCCGACAGAGCCGTTTTGCGTCGGGAGAGGGTTCCAAATGGATTTTCACCCTGGAACGGTTCCAGGGTGAAAATCCATCTGGAACCTCCCGACGCTGCGCGGCAGGGCCCAGCCGCGAAAAACGAGCTCCCCAACAAGAGATTTCATGTCTAAAATTGCAATTTTGGAAGCTTGGGTACACCCCCCATCCCCGACAGAGCCGTTTTGCGTCGGGAGAGGGTTCCAAATGGATTTTCACCCTGGAACGGTTCCGGGGTGAAAATCCATCTGGAACCTCTCGACGCTGCGCGGGGGGCCCAGCCGCGAAAAACAAGCTCCCCAACAAGAGATTTCATTTGGAAAATTGCCATTCTGGGAGCTCGGGTACACCCCCCCCTCATCTCCCCGACAGAGCCGTTTTGCGTCGGGAAGGGGTTCCAGATGGATTTTCACCCTGGAACGGTTCCGGGGTGACAATCCATCTGGACCTCCCTCCCGACGCTGCGCGGGGGGCCCATCTGGGACCTCCCTCCCGACGCTGCGCGGAGGGCCCAGTCGCGAAAAACAAACTCCCCAAATAGAGATCTCATTTGGAAAATGACCATTTGGGGAGCTTGGGGGCACCCCCCCCGTCCCCGACAGAGCCGTTTTGCGTCGGGAGAGGGTTCCAGATGGACTTTCACCCTGGAACGGTTCCGGTGTGAAAATCCATCTGGAACCTCTCGACGCTGCGCGGCAGGGCCCAGCCGCGAAAAACAGCTCCCCATAAGAGATTTCATTTGAAAATGAATTTTGGGAGCTCGGGCCCCCCCCCCCCCATCCCCGACAGAGCCGTTTTGCGTTGGGAGAGGGTTCCAGATGGATTTTCACCATGGAACGGTTCCGGGGTGAAAATCCATCTGGGACCTCCCGACGCTGCGCGGGAGGGCCCAGCCGCGAAAAACAAGCTCCCCAATAAGAGATTTCATTTGGAAAATTGCCATTTTGGGAGCTCGGGTACCCCCCCCCCATCCCCGACAGAGCCGTTTTGCGTCGGGAGGGGGTTCCAGATGGATTTTCACCCTGGAACGGTTCCGGGGTGAAAATCCATCTGGGACCTCCCGACGCTGCGCGGGAGGGCCCAGCCGCGAAAACAGCCCCAATAAGAGATTTCATTTGGAAAATTGCCATTTTGGGAGCTCGGTACGCCCCCCTCCCGCAGAACCGTTTGCGTCGGGGGTTCCAGTTGGATTTTCACTCTGGAACGGTTTCCGGTGAAAATCCATTTGAGCCATCCCGACGCTGCGCCAGGGCCAGCCCCGAAAAACGAGCTCCCAATAAGAGATTTTCATTTGGAAAATTGCCATTTGGGGAGCTCGGGTACACCCCCCCCCATCCCCGACAGAGCCGTTTTGCGTCGGGAGAGGGTTCCAGATGGATTTTCACCCTGGAACGGTTCCGGTGTGAAAATACATTTGGAACCTCTCGACGCTGCGCGGCAGGGCCCAGCCGCGAAAAACGAGCTCCCCAATAAGAGATTTCATTTGGAAAATGGCCATGTTGGGAGCTCGGGTACGCCCCCCCATCCCCGACAGAGCCGTTTTGCGTCGGGAGGGGGTCCCAGATGGATTTTCACCCTGGAACGGTTCCGGGGTGAAAATCCATCTGGAACCTCCCGACGCTGCGCGGCAGGGCCCAGCCGCGAAAAACGAGCTCCCAAATAAGAGATTTCATTTGGACAATTGCCATTTTGGGAGCTCGGGTACGCTTCCCCCCCATCCCCGACAGAGCCGTTTTGCGTCGGGAGGGGGTTCCAGATGGAATTTCACCCTGCAGCGGTTCCGGAGTGAAAATCCATCTGAACCTCCCGACGCTGCGCGGCAAGGCCCAGCCGCGAAAAACTAG